CATTGCAACTTTCACTCTCTCCAGTCGTTGCAACACTTGCACTACTGGGTCAGGAAAAGGGAGAGCCAAGATGTGTGGTTGCAGCCTGCACCCCTTATCATACCTCTCATCATCAGCATGAAAACCCCTATACCTCCAAAAGTCCTATGGCGACTGATGGGTGGCGACGGGGACAGGCAGAGATGACTGCCGGGAGTCTCTAGTCACAACTCTGCACAAGAGCGGTACAGATAAGATGGTCGTTCATGCACTGGGACCTAGGCAGCAGTGCAATCTGATTCTGTCTGTGCGACTGAGTAGTCTTCGAGGAGCCACTCTGCTCACCCCACAGGGGGAGGGGGCTAGAAAAGGTCCCCTAAACATAGCCTGCCTAAAAAAAAAACCTAACTGGGCAACCGCACCCAGTAAGGTCATCCTTTTGCGGTCGAAAACATAATCAAAATTACAAACCCAAACAAAAACAAACTATACAACCTCTTACGCGTTCTGCATGAAATGTCAGGACCCTTCTGAATACTGGCTCAAATGGGCGTCCTGAAAGAAGAAACACCAATGTGGCAAAAGAACTGGCAAGGTATAACATCGACATAGCAGCCATTAATGAGTCCCGACTCCTATACCTTCTTCTGGAAGGGTAAGCCTGCTGTGGAGAGAAACTGCATTTATGGAGTTGGCTCTGCCATCCACCAATGCATCCTACATAGGCTAACTGAAATGCCTATTGGGATCAACGAGCGCCTTATGACGCTCCGAGTCCCACTGAATTACTCACATCATGCCATTCTCATCAGTGCATATGCCCCAACACTGGATGCATAGGATGGCACCAAGGAGGCCTTTTTCGCCGACCTCGACAGAATGCTAAGCTCTATCCCCAGAGAAGATAATGTTGTGCTCCTTGGTGACTTCAATGCTAGAGTTGGCAGAGATGCTGACATCTGGCATGGAACCATAGGGAGAAATGGACTAGGCAAGTGTAATCCCAACTGCCTTCTCCTACTCCTCCCCAGCAAGTGTGCTGCACACAACCTCACTATCACCAACACCTTGTTTAGGTAGGCCGACAAGTTCAAGGGTTAGTGGCAACTCCCACGATCCAAACACTGGCATCTCATTGACTACATCATTGTCAGACAAAGAGATCGCCGAGATGTCCTCATCACCCGTGCCATGCGTGGCTCAGACCACTGAGACACTGATCATCGGCTCGTCAGAGCCAAGCTCTCACTTCACGTCGCCCCAAAACAGAGAAGGCAGCAAGCCTCCAGAAGAGTTTTAATACTAAGCGTTTGGAGGATTCAGCGGTAGCACAACCTTTCAGAGAGCAGCTCGAACATGGGCTGATAAAAATCCCGACAACAAAGAGCCCAAACCCCTGTGCCGAAGGGGATATTCTCGACACTGTCATAACAAAAACCTGCAGAGAGACCCTCGGCCAGATCGAAAGAATACACCAGGACTGGTTTGATGAAAATGACCCGGCAATCAATGTACTCGTCGATGATAAACGTACTGCTTTAACTGACTGGCAGAACAACCCTCAGTCTCGGACCAAAGCTGATACCTCCCGCAAGAAGAAAGCGGCGGAACAGCGGGAACTTCTCAATCTAAAGAACGACTGCTTTAAAAATAAATCATGTGAAACACAAGGTTTGCAGATCAGCACAAGATGCGTGAATTTTTCAATTCCACTAAAACATTTTATGGGCCAATCACTCCAAAACAGATTTCTTCCTGAGGTGGAAGACTTCCTCCCAGAATCTCAATGTGACTTTAGACCATCACGTGGCACCACTGACTTGATCTTTGCTGCCCGTCAGATACAGGAAAAGTGCAGAGAATAGCGTCGTGACCTGTACATGGCTTTTATCGACATAACCAAGGCCTTCGACTTAGTCAACAGGGAAGCCCTTTGATGGACCCTCGGCCGTTTTGGCTGCCCAACAAAATTCATCGTCATTGAGAGGCAACTCCACGGTGGCATAAACGACAGTGTCCTGCACAATGGCACCCAGTCTAAGTTCTTTCCCATCCAAAAGGGGATAAAACAAGAATGTGTAATGGCACCAACTCTCTTTTCTATTTTCTTGGCTGCCTTCCTTACTCGTGCCATTGTCAATTTAGCTGGCGGGGTGGTCATCGAGTAACAGATGAAGAGGGGTCTTTTTAACATAAGACGACTCCAGGCAGGAACAAAGGTGTCGGCAGCTTCCATTACTAACTTCAGTATGCAGATGACCTCACTCTTGTTGCTCAAACTGAGCACGACCTACAAGAGATCCTGAACACCTTCGCAGATGCGTATGCACACTTCTGCCTTGAGGTGAATGTATAAGACTCAGATTCTCTTTCAGCCTGCCCCTTGTTCAGCCACAACTCCACCATCCATCCAGCTTAACGGTACTACCCTGTCTAATGTTACCCACTTTCCTGTATCTCGGCTCCCACCTCTCCACTACCGCGGACATCGATGAAGAGATTCAGCATCGGATCAGATGTGCATCTCAAGCCTTTGGGAAACTCCGAAACCGTGTCTTCAGCTGTAGGGAGCTGAAATTATATACAAAGTTACACGTATATCGAGTAGTGTTGCTCCCCACCATGCCATATGACAGCAAGACCTGGGTCACATATAGGAGGCACATGAAGGTACTTGAAAACTTTCACCAACGTAGTCTACGTTCCATCCTTCGAGTTCGCTGAGAAGACAAGAGAACAAATGGCAGTATTCTTGCCGACACCAACTGTAGAAGCATCGAGGCTACCATTTTCCATGAACAACTACGTTGGACTGGCCATGTTACCCGCATGGACGACAGTAGACTGCCAAAGCAGCTATTTTACAGTCACCTAATGAATAGTAAACGTAACGCTGGCGGGCAACTGAAAAGATATAATGATAGTCTTAAGACAAACCTGAAAAAGTGCCAAATCGACCCCCTCACCTGGGAGAAATTACTCCACACCGTAACGCTTGGAGGAGCACCACACAAGAAGGTGTCAATCCATTCGAATTAGCCCGACTGCATAACGAGGCAGACAAACGCCAACGCCGGGAAGACACTGCCGCTGCCCCTCCCGCACTAGATGTAACCCCCCACATGTAAAACTTCTGTGATCGACCCTGCCGGTCCTGCATCGGCCTCTTTAGTCACCTCAGAACTTACCAACCTAAGTGACATGCTTAATAACTCATATGATTGTATCATAGCTGGATGAACGTCATATTCGATTCCGAGTGAAAGCAAAGTAGTATGTATGTATGTATGTATGCATGTACTAATAAGATAGAGATATAAAATTATTCTACTTAGCAGAGGGGATTATAAACACAAGAATGAGCGAAGCTGTAGAGCAGGAATGGGCAACCTTTCCTCAGTCATGGGCAGCATTACGATTTAGGTATTATTCTGCGGGCCAACCCAGCAATATTTACATCCTATCTAACCGAAAACAGGGGCGGATCCAGGAATCTA